TAGTAGAAAGAACTATTAGCAACTCCCAAAATTTAATTTCGCATCGTCAGTTATTAACTACTTTGGGTTCTGGAAAACCTGAATCAAAAACTCTAGGTTAGTTCGTTAAACCAATCACTTTTAGGCTCGTAACGGAAAAGATATTAATTTCTCCGATGAGAATTAAAATATCTTTTGCTTCCATTTTTACCATTTTTATATGGTAATTGTTTTCTGAACCAAAAATCATTTTTTTTCTACTTTTTTTGCCAAAACTGCCGAGAAATTTTCTGGATACGAATTAACAAGCAAATTTACTAGCCATTTAAAGCCCTAGAATTGCGAGAATGAAGGGTTTAAAAATTTTATGAGCGAAGAAAACTTCCTCAATCACACACTGTTTTTCCGGGTTTTAAATCAACCCAGTTTCTAAAAAAGTTTACTTTTTTTTATTTCGAAAACTCGCCTCTCATTAGTTTTCGCAACTCGCTAGTCGGGTTGGAGAGATTAATAAAGAGCTTAGGTCCGCGGGAGAATGACCCAAACTGACATATTCATCAACATCACTGTTAGCCGGACGCGAATAACCGTGAGCCAGCGGATAAAAGCCACTTCTAGGATCAACCCAAAAACGAAGTTGTTATTAACTACCAGTGGGTAATTGGCATATTCAATTGATCCTTCGTAATATTGCCGGTGGATGCAAGACAAACCTGACTCTTAACTCTGAAAATGAGAAACTACCAAGAGAACCACAGCCTATTTTTGTTTTAGTGCTTTTTTTAGTTTCCGAACCGGAGCGGAGGAGAACTACGCTTTTTTTGTTTTGTCAAACCACTACTAAAAAACGAGTGAAGCCGCATAATACCGGGTGAAAACGGGATTTTTAACTAGAAGGTGGCACGACTTATTTTTCGAACGCAGTGAGAAAAATTATAAAAGATTTCGTAGTATTTACTTTAGTTTTTTTAAGAAATCTTTTACTCCGCTAGAAAAGAAATCAAGAAAGAAAAGAAGCCCCTCTCGGCCGCAGATAAAAAGCTATCACGATGCCTAGTCAAGAAATATAGTCTACCAAAAATATTGAGTACAAATGTTCTAGAAAGAATATCAAGTCCAATTCAGTTGTTAGCCCTGTTTATACCTGCTTTGATTGAACAAAAAATGCCTATTAATTTCCTTTCATACACATCCACACTCGCCCATGCATCACCTAAAAAAAATAAGTTCTAGAAAAAAGCCTAAAGCTATAGGGGATTTTTTATCCACCACATTCTTAACCCTCAGTGAGGACAGGTGAAACGACGTCTAAGCAAATAAGTCTAACCAACATACCCCAAATACCGATGCCAACGATGAAACTACCATCTCCTCTCGCCACCGGAACGAAAAATTTCCTACCGAATTACCGTATAATATATAATATAGATCGAGACGAAAAAAGTTAAGATTAAGGAACTGCCAAAAAGCCTGGTAGTACTTGGTCTTAACGCAGGAGAAAATTAAGAAAACTTCTGATTAAAACAAAAATATTACAGATGGTTTTTTCTTTACTGAAGACTTTTGTCTTTCTTCGGTTCCTACTTCTCCTAGTTGATTCGATAATTCTTCTAATTTTATTTTTTTAATTCTTACTATTATTTTTCTTTTCCCCAACCATTACTTCGTTTTTTTAAATTCTCGGTTTTCGTGCTTAAGTGAAGGATATTTGGTAATGTTACGTCTTCCCGCAGGAGAATTTTGGCAAGAGAAATCGTCTCCAACCTTTATAATTAATGCTCCAAAGAATATTGTAAAAATATTGTAAAAGATGCGGAACCAGCAGATCTGTTAAAATAAACCCAAATTTGAAAAATGTAGTAATAAAATCTCTAACCACAAAATAATTCAAGATTTCAAAAAAAGGCAGCGTAGCTCAGTTGGTTAGAGCAAACGACTCATATTCGTTAGGTCGGAGGTTCAACTCCTCTCGCTGCTACCATTTAACCAGTTTTATTTGTGAAAATATGGCTTTCCAAAAAATCTTTGCTGCTTTTTTTTGGCTAAACTATAATCATAAGTGGTTTAGAAAATAACCAAAAAAAAATAGAAATTATCATCAATTACTTCGGAGCAATTTTTATTTGGGCTTCATATTGTTTAGCTTGATTTTCTGATTTAACTAATTGATTATAATAATTTCTTCG